CTGTCGCCCGCAAACAAGTCGGAGTAAACTGCCGAAGGCCCAAAATATACTACCTCTCTGGGGAGGGGGAGTCGGAGGAGGTGGGGTGAGAGTGAGTTGCAGAGGTAACGAGGTTTTTGATCTTGGGCCTGATGCACATTTGGAAATGGAAGTGTGTGTGGGTGTGTTTGCAAATCCTTCCACTATCCAGTTTTAGAGGACACCAGGGACTGCTTTAGGTGCAAGGAAAGGGGGGGGGGTGTGTGTGTGTACTTGCTCACATGCTCACAGACTGAGCAACAGACACAGGTCATGTCCTGAACANTCCTGACAAACCACGTGTGTGTGTGTGTGTGTGTGTGTGTGTGTGTGTGTGTGTACTTGCTCACATGCTCACAGACTGAGCAACAGACACAGGTCATGTCCTGAACAGAAGAGGAGGGAAGTGATTGTTAAAACTGAAACAAAAGATGTATTTCATATCCAGACCGAACTGGCACTTTTGACCCACTTAAAGCTGGCCATTCAACTTTGGTGAAAGTTGGCAGAGTGCTGAGGAAGGGGGAGTCGAACAGAGAGAGATAGACAGACTGGTAATTGGGGAAGTGACTAAATGAGGATGAGTGGAGGGCACATAGATTGAAAATTGTCCACAGAGAGGGGGGGGAGACACCTTGGATGTGCCTGCCTGCAGTCTTGGCTTGCTTTCAGGCTCCAAGCGTGACTTCGTCTATTTCTGTTCTGCTCAGAGGTGATAATGGGCTGTCAGCACCCCGTCACCCTGCTCCCTCCTCCCCCACCGAGTGTGAGAGGGAAGGAGGGAGCGGGAGGTGACACAGAGAGTGAAGCTAAGAGGCGGGAGTAATTTGTTGTCATGTTGCTAATTGTAATGTGTATTATTTTGCTCGGGATATGATACTAACAGAAAACTCATCGTCTTTTTTTACTTCTGTTGCAGTTTGAAAATGGAATGTGAGAAACTGGCCACAGAGAAGACGGAGATCCAGAGGCACTACGTTATGGTGAGACACACACACACACACACACACACACACACACACACACACACACACACACACACAGGCCACGTCTCTCCACAACGAGTGCTGTGCCAAGTCCTCTGAATCCCTTTCATCTGCTAACAGCTGCCAAACACCCACCAAAAACCACATGCAAGACCACACACACTACCACACACATGCACATATATTATAGGAGTGCAGAATAAACAGCACTTACATGGGCGTGCAATCCTTGTGCTAGTGTTTCAGAGATATGCTATACTTCAGGTCTGTGTGTCCACATCTGTCTACAGCTGTGTATAGATGAGAACTTTTGGTAACAGCCGTCATTATATACAGTCTAAGGTCCTAGCCGCACGGAAAAAAAAGTCTTCCGTCCACACGCAATCGGCACCATAAACGTGTCCGTCCACACGAGACCGCTCGACCCGCTGGAGACGCTGTAGTGCATATGCCGGGCCTGTAAGTGGCGCTGTACTTCCGCCACAAAATACACCAAAAGCAGTGAAGAAGACTTCCCGAGCGTTCCCGAGCATGCATGGTTGCCATGGTTTTCCTTCCGTTTATTCTCCGCGGTGGATTTAGCAGCAGAGGTGGGGAGAGTCAGGGCTCTGGCTCTTTTTCTCCCTCCCCGAGTTAAGCGTGTGCTCCTGCTGTAAATCTCCCCGGTTAGTCCACCAGCAGATGAAAAACACCCACCTCTCCGGTTCCCTCTCTTCCAAGGGACGAGGGAACCGTGCGGCAGACTTTCCGTTAGAATTTTTTTCCGCCGGTCAACATGTCCGTTAAAGTTTAAATCTTCCGGACAAACCTATAAAAGTGTCGGTCAAAGTTTTTTTTTAATATTTATTGAGCTTTAAAACAAATGAATAACGACTCCTATATAATAATATAAGAATAATACACGGAGCCTCTCTTTTCCTCCCCCTCTCCCGACAGCATTTTCGTTATCAGGAAATGATCGTATAGGGCGTAATCACGGAGCCGTTTGCAAACCCCCCCAATCCCCCCCCACCGAGCGTTGCGTCCGCAGATATACCCACCTTGGGACCCGTTATCTGCGTTTCCCTGTCGGCCTCGCGTGGCCGAACCGTCTATAAGATAGAGAACTGTAGCGGATACGGCCCGTTTCGTCACCGTGTGGCTCTCGTAAGGCTGCTGTGACACCAAACCCGGGAAAGAAAAATGCAGTCCTCTCATTCATTTCCATGAGGTAAGTGCTTTCAAATGAATGGGAGAATCAACTTTGCAGCCTGGCGTCACGCTGCGGTGGCCAATCACGTAAACGGCGATCAATGGGCCATTTAAATCAAATGGGTCAATCAAATAAGGGCCACTCAAATGGGCCATTTAAGTGACACTCCCACACCGTCACACGGCCCCCTGCTAATTGTTGCAACGCTTGATTTGGTGTGTGTGCAGCCTCCTCAGTGCTGGGAGCTGGTGACAAATGCCTGGTCAGATTCATATTACTCTTTGTTCTTCGTTCACACCATCCATGGCAAAACTTGGGAGGAATACAAGTAAAACGAGACATTATAAACATCCAAATAAAGCATTTCACAAAACACGCCGTTCTTAAAGGTGTGTGGAGCAGTATATGTGTTACATTTGCGGTGGTGTGAGGAAAAAATCATGACAAACGCAACAGTTCGGAGAAATGTATCGACGTGTGAATTTATTGCACAATAAAAAAATCCCCTTTGGTGTAAAAGCTGTTAGACTGTTGGTTTTACTAAACAATAAATTAGTGTATCTTCTCCGGCGATGGACAGTGTTGTGTTTGGTGTGTTTTTTATTTTAGGATTTTATAGGTTTAAGAGGACAATGATTAAGTAATTCATAGTGAGATTTGTCTTTGCAGCCCCACTGAGATTAACTCGCAGTTTCTCTGCTGTGTCATTGGTTGTCAGTCATCCCTCCCACACTGCTCTGAGGTCAGTGCGATCACACGGTGTGACACTGCTGCTTAATGTCCCACTCATTGCAGACATTCCTCTAAAGTCGGAAGCTTTTGCATCTCAACATGGACAGTTATAGAAGTTCAACTTTAAATCGGGCAAAACACTGATTTAATAAGTGAATTATAACAATGTGCTTCCTCTGCAGTCGGCCGTTCAGAGGCAGGGCTGTGTGAATATGTGTGGCTGTGTTATAGTAAAGAACACATGATCAGCAGTTTGTCTGGATGAAGGAAAGGCTAAAACAGTTTCTTTGTTTTGCAAACCTCCAGCCTTGATGTTACCTGTGATCAGAGCCACACACAGCTTCAGCTGACTGACTGTAGGCCGCCCAGATCCCTCGCTGCCAAAGAAGAATCGGCAATCTTGGCACACAGCGAGGCCTTGTGGGGGGATTGAAGTTTTAGTGATGGGGAAATGAGGGGGGGGTAGCTGGCATCGAGCTCGGGCCAGGTCTCCTCTCCTGGCTGATGATTTGGGTTAGGATGAGTTTGGATGTTGCTAAGCAACAGGCGAAACTTGGCACACCGACTGCCAAGCAGAGACGCCAGCTGCCAGGAAAGGCGTCTTTTATGGCGACACACACAGAGAGAGGAGTGAACACACACACACACACACACACACACTCGTAGGGGAAACATGCACACAAAGCACATAGACACACACTCCTACACAGTTGCGGGCTTGTGCTACAAACACACACACCTGCACACACACACATGAGCGTGCTAACTGCCAGGAAAGATGTCTGGAGAGAGAGGACCTCTGCCATCTCCTCTCACATCCTGCCAGCCGGCTCTGGCTGCCTGACTGCCAATCTCCTCTCTCCACAAGCAGCCACGCTGAAAAGCAAATGTCAGCCTGTCACTTTTCGAGGCTTCTGACTTTAAAATGCTCTCCTTTCTTCGTCCCTCTCTGAAGGTAGAGGAAGAGAGAGAGACCTGTCTTTCCCTCTCTCTGTGGCATTCATCTCCTGCTTTCCCCACAGCTCTTTGTACCTTCGGGTAAAAGCCAGGGTCAAATAACTCACATTAGACATGATTATTGCAATAGTCTGTCCCCTTCTTCTGCCCACCGACAATTTCCCTGCCTCACTTCGGGTGTCTGGCTTCCGAAAAGCGCCTCCGGGTCATTTAAGTGCCATTGACTTTTAGCGGAGTCAAGGTGAAATTAGGGGCATGTGCTTTTAGGGACACGTTTGCACTTCAGAGTGCAAGGACTGGCATCGTCTGAAGCTAGGAGCAAGAAAAAGCTTTTGTGAGAGCTTTATGGGCTCACACTGGAATGTATTTGTGAAAACCAATAGCTGGAATACCCCGTAAATATAACATCACTCATAAATCAAGGTTTTTACAAAGAAACCTCTCATCATATAGTCAAGAAAGAGCATTTGTAATTGTTTTTCTTTTAAGGGAAAAGGCTCACAATCTTTTTACAACACAAGTTGAACCTTTTTTTTTTTTTACAAATCCCATCAAAACTAAGAACATTGTTCATCATTCAACCGTTTCTGACTTCCCTACTCTGTCGGCACTTTAAAAGCAGGTCATGGGTACCGCAGTTTTTAGATCACTTTACCTAAACAATGGGAATACACATTGTATTTGTGGGGGATTACTTTCACCCAAAAAGAATCCATCTTTGGTGTGTGGAGTATTTCCTCCGACATGTGGGATTGACTGTAGGATTAATTCTGTGTTGGTTTGAGGCTTTTCATGGGCTTTGTTTCCAATAATAAAAAATAAATAATAACGTTATCATTTGTATCACTTTAGCATTTTATCATTGTGCAGATAAAATAAAACTGAATCGCCTCAGCACATAAGTTGCACAAATTGCTTATCGCAGATGAATTGATGTGATCTTAACATCTCTTTTTGGGAGTCGTCGCCAAGTGGTGTCATTAAGTTATAAGATTTCTATTTGATTTAAAGAGGCTCTTTTATGCTTTTTGTGGTTTTCAATTTCCTGTAGTGTGTTTCATACGTTTTTGTGCATGTTAATGGACTGCAAAGGCTAGAATCCCAAAGTTCCCTCCCACACACTCTGGGTGTTTCTCAATATCGAGGAAGGATGCTCCAGAGCCACTATTTCAAGGATGCTACGTGATCGAGTCCCGCCGAAAGACTGTTCCAATGTCCAGCATACTTGGAATTCTACCGAGGCCGGCGTACTTCGTTGGGGCCCAACGAAGTACGCCGGCCTCGGTAGAATTCCAAGTATGCTGGACATTGGAACAGTCTTTCGGCGGGACTCGATCACGTAGCATCCTTGAAATAGTGGNCTCACATTATGCTGGGCCCACGTGCCTTAGCACCGCTGCTATGACTCCATCCTAGGGGAAACACTGTAGGGTATACCTAAACATTTAGGGTAAAAAAACTAGATAAAAGCATCTTATTCATCACACTAAAAATATATTCTTTAATCGTTAAAAGGCTCTCATGAGTATTTATAAGAGTATTTCTTAGAAGTTTAATAAACAAGGTCCCAGGCTTCCTCGTTTCCCAGAGAAACCTGCAGGTGACGTCACAGATTCTGCATTTGAAGTGTTTTACAGCCTAATGGATTTAAAGCCTGCGCTGACCTATGAGTCAGTCTGAGTCACAGTGAGCCTGTCTCTCAATTCATAAAAGCTCGTTAAAACTCCTAATCCAGGTGACCAATATGGGTTTGAATAATGCATGCTGATTATAAACCTCCCATCAGTAACACAGAATTCAAAAAATATTTTTTTTTCTTATTTAATTGATTAGAAATTAGAACATTTTATGCACAATGGCACTCCACAAATGTACCAGAATTATGCTAAAAGGCCAACAATAAGCGGCTGTTTTAAGACAGCCATTAAGAGCCTTTGTCTGTACGGAGCTATGAGGCAGGCGAAGGCTTACTGATGAAATCACTCTATATGGCATATTATATTTATATTGGAAAATAGGTTGTGCTTCAACCACAGCGTGCTAAATGGATTGCAAAACTCAAAATTGTCATCAGGCCAAATAAACAAATGAAAAGTTAGTATTTTGTTCGCCTTGACTTTAAGATGAGCTACATTTTCACATTTTCTTGGGAACACACCAATGAGATTCACTCAGCTGCCAAAGATGCTTTGAGTTCAATCCAAACAGTTTGGCTCAACGGTCAGACAGTAACATGTCATAATGGCAGGAATGTATGTTTATCTCTGCTCTTTCATCCCAGATCAGATACGAAGCAGCAGGTTGGTCTTGGGAGGATTTATGCTGGGAAAAGCGATATGGCCGAGCAAGGGTTAAGGCTTTAAGAGGATGGTGTGTGTTCAGTCTTCTTTCATTGTAAAGAGAGAGAGAGAGAGAGATTTTTTCCCTTTTAA